ATCTAGGACATTCAGAAGCGTAATGTCCATACTTTTGACAAGTAAAACACTGTATATGTCCTTTATCACGTTCGCCTCGTCCACGTCCACGACCTCTTCCACGTTTTTGTCGAGTTTGCCACTCTGTATAAGTGAGCAAAAGTTGTCCATCAGAGTTATCACCCATATTGCGCATCCGAATGATCCGGTCCTCAAATACTTTCATTCTCCCGACCGCTTCCTCGAACGACATGTTATCAATATCTGAATACTGTTCTATAGATGCAACTAATTGAAAAAACTTATCTGGCACCGAATCAAGAAGTTTCCTAACGAGTGCGCCATCCTCGAGAGTAGCACCAAGATCACTGTATTTGGTGACCATACTGCTCAATTTTCCAGCAAATTCATCAATCGTCTCACCTTCATTCATATGCAAAGCGTCGAATTCACTTTTCAAGGTTCGCAAACGTGCCTTCTACACACGATCAACCCCCACGTACTGAGTCTTTAGGGATTCCCAAATCTCACTAGCGGATTTCTTCTTTGCTATCTGCATAAGAACATCTTCCGGTACCGTTTGAAAGATGAACGCTCGAGCTACCTTATTCTTTTTCTCATCTACGACCACTCCGGTCGCAGGTTCAACTGCATCCCAGATCCCCTGGACATCCATGATCGCCTTCATCTTGATCGCCCATGTCGTATAATTGGACGACGTCAACATGGGGCATTGCAATGACACACCGTCGTTTTCCTTTACTCCTTGAGTAATGAGTGACATAGATACTCACACAAGTCTTCCCGACTAGACACAGGTCCTCCCGACCAAACACGGTCTTCCCGACCAAATATAGGTCCTCCCGACCAGATATGGGTCCTCCCGCCCAAGCACAGGTCCTACCGACCGGGCTCTGATACCACTATTAGAAATCTTCAAAAACTAAACCAAAAAAAATGGAAAATGGTTGCATGACTTTATCGACGAACATGAAAAGATATTTGAGAGAGAAAGAGATAATGTCATTAGGGAGAAAGATATTTTTTTTTTATTTCATGTTGATGTCTTTTTAAATACAAAACAAAAGCAACGTGGGAAGAGAATGTGGACAAATTACATGGGATATGCCTATAAGACTAGCACCCACCTTTTGAAAATTTCAAAATAAATAAATTAATGCAATAAAACAAGATTATTCCTAACAATCTCATCACCTATCTTGCAGGCACTCGCATCGGCTGTCACCGATGCCACAACAGGGACTTCCCCCTCTCCACCACAAAGAGCAGTTGACATAATGATAGACACATCTAATCCAACAGCTCTCCAGCTTGATCCGCGTATCATCTCATCGGAAAGGGCGGTGGGCCATTCTAATGGCCAACCGAAATCTACTTTGCCAAACAACAAAGTTGAAAGTAAGTCGACATATCAATTTGATAATAAAAATGAGATGATCAAGGAAGCTCAACATATCCTTCGTTCTAGATCAATTGCCCAGACTCTCCGAGACCCCACTGACTTTACCTTAGTCGGTAAAGCTCGGAAAGGAAACAACAAATTTAAGTAGCCCTCTACTATCCAGAAGGCTTCATGGAGACTAGAGTCCATGACGAATCAACGACTTGCTGCGATCATTATGGTTTCAACATCTTGATGGCTATTAATTGTTGTATTTGCTCTCTTTTGTATGTCTGCGTTGTTTTTTGGCTCTAAACTCTAGATTAATTTCCGGTTGTAAAAGGTTCTGATTAATATAAATTTACCGTTAACAAAAAAATATTGTTTAGAAATAGGAAAAATAACTTTTTTCTACACGAATTTAACAAAATGTGACTTTTTTCTATACTAACTTTTAATTTGACAAAAAACCTACATCAAACTAACAAATTTCCCAAATCGATACATGAATTATCCAATTTAATTGCGATTAACTACACAATCCCAAACGGTGTTAAGTGTCCGCTAACGGATGACGTGGAAAGCCACGAAGCGGCTGACGTAGAAGACCACATGGAAAGCTTTTGCCACATCAGCACAACACGTCAGATTAAAAAAACGAAAAAATGAAAAAAAATCGAAAAAAATATAAAAAAATAAAAAATAAAAAATACATTCATATATATTCATATCTACATACAAATACAAATATAAATATATATACTCCTATATATAAATATATCTATATATACATACAAAATAAAAAATATACACATATATATACATACATCTATACAAATATATATACATATACATACATATAAAAAATATTTATATATACACACATACACATATATAAATATATATACACATATATATATATGTGCATATATAGAATCTCCATCGAAGCAAACCAGATAAACAAACTAGTTAAACATGTTATAGAATTTCCATTAAGAAGGTAAAACTTTATTTTGTTCTTCTATCTATCGTCATCGATGTTATTTTTATATGGTTTTCTTTTAGATGTGTTTAATTTTTCTTTCAGTTTTTCTGTTCTTCATGTATCGTCTTCGCCTTACCCTTTTTTCTTATCGATTTGTTGTGTCTTGCTTTTTTTAGGTTCTTCTGAGTTTTGTATTTCGTCATCGATAACTAGTTGTATTAGGTTTCTGGGTTTTTGATTTCGCTATCGATGGTGTGTTGTCGTAATTGTATTTGCGTTTGGTTGATAATAATACGTTTGTAAATACATAAAAAATGAACCACTAAAAAAACTCTTCTTGTTGCAATTAGATATTAGAAAAGCTCCATTTTTTAATGTTTGTATGTTTCTATTATTGATAACAATTTGATATTGATGGAATGAGTACGAAGAAGAAGAAAATATAGACAAAGACAATGATTATTAGTTATTTAAATGTGTCTCGCATGCAAGAGGTACACGCTTCGCCTAGCATCTCATACATCGGATTTTAGAATCAATGTTAATATAGTATATTATTTGGATATAGGTAGATAACTCTATATAGTTATAAAAAGAAAACTGTATAGTTGTAATATTTGTGGAATGTGGTTTTACAATTCAAAATATATATAAAGTATTCGGTGTCTTTCTTAAAATTGTGACAACTGTTTAAATTAATATTTTGTGCAAAATATAAAGAAAAAAAAATCATATTTTCACTTCATACATGTGTTTTTTATAAACCTTTGGAGATCAAACTCATTGTTAGAATATAAGAGTTAATCAATCCAAACAAGAACTTAATCATAAAGTTTAATTCAAACAGATCAAATCATTTTTTAAGTCCATCTACAAATATATTATCAACACTTATCGGTATTGAGTAGACAAAACCTTCTGTAAGTGGACCAAATGATGCTCTATGGATTTCTTGTAAATCAGAATATCGTTGAAGAACTCCAATACAAACTGGCATAGGAAATACCGAAAAATGTTGTGCATCATAATTTGAAATGTTGTCAGCGCATTTATCAATATGAAAGGCATAACCAAGAACTCATAATGACCTTCATGTGTGCGAAAGACTGTCTTCGAAATGTTATACGACTTCATATGAATTTTGATAGTAAACGGAGCGCAGATCAAATTTGGAAAAAATGGCAGCATAAAAAAGCTCATCTAAGAATCTGTCGATCATAAGAATAACATATTTATCGGGGATTGTCCCCCTATTCAATGTTGTATAATCGACTCAAAAACGTCAGCTACCGTTTTTCTTCCTGACCAAAAGCATCTGACTAGAGATGAACTTTGGCTCGGTTTCATGATCCTTGTCTGAAGCATTTCACTGACGAGACATTCAATTTTACTCTTATATATGTGAGGGTACCTATAAGATCAGACACTGATTTAATTCATTTCAAATTGTGACTAATCAAGTAAAACATTTGACACAAATTTGCAGTTTTTTATATTGTGGAATTATGGTGCGTTGTTCTAATGAAATTTTTGTTGATAACAATTAATAGTTAGACAATGTGTTTCAAAGACCAAATTTAGTATATATGAATTGACAATTACATTGTTTCATGATTTTAGAACAATAATATTTTTGAACTTATATTTTTGTATACCATTGATGAATTCATATTTGTTTCTTCCTTCAAAAACATTTGTTATAGGTCAATGACATCAATTGTGATCTCTTAAGCATTCAAATAATCTTACACTATTGATGGTTGCTGCTATTTAAAAATAATAATTCTAGTAAAAATCATTTGTGATATAGTGATTGAGGGCTATTTTTTTTAGAAAAACCAAATATAAACTAAAAAATATTGAAAATAAAGGAATTAATACAACCAACTATATTCAATAAAAGAAAATAAAAAAAAACTGTAGAAAAAAATATATCAAATTAGATACGAATGAGAAATACTAATGTCAAATGGGATAGGTTAAATGGGTTATCCCAACCCAACCCAATAATAATTTTATTTGGTTTATATATTTGGGTTATGAATGAGTTTTATGGGTTTAATCCATTAAGGTTATGGTTAAATGAGTAAACCCATTAAACCCATTTAATCTAATATAAACATAGATCTTAATTAAATAACTATATTAATTGGATTAATAAAATCATAATTGAATCTATTCCAATCAAATAATATATATAACCAAATTCAATATAATATCAAATGAGAATTTTAACAAAAATTGAATTTGAATCAAAATTATTCGAGTTCGAACCAAAACGGATCGATACAAATATAAACGAATCGAATATGAATCAGAATGAATTGATTCGAAACAAATTTTAATTAGAACGAATTGATTCGAATGGGAACGAATCTATTCTCATGAAATTCGAATTGTAACGGATCGATTTGTATGAAATCTAAATCAGAACAAATCGATTTCAAACGATTTGAATTAAATAAATAGATTTGTTGGGTTTAATTGGGTTTTATGTGTTAACCCAACCCATTTCAATATTCTTTTGTTTTTTTATTGGGTTAGGTTTGGGTGTAATGAGTTGGGTTTATAATGAGAAATGTTCTTGAGTCCAATATGTTTGGTTGATGATAAAATGAATAAGAAAAAATAACAAAAAGAAAAGTGATAGTGAAATTTCTTCAAAAAACCCGTAGCTTCAAAGAAAGTGAAGCACTTTGAGCGTTTTGATTTTACAGCAAAGTTAAATACAAGAAATCTGTTGCTTTACTCAACAAACATGGACAGAGCAGAACCTATGATTTCTCTCAGAATCAAATCTGGTCAATCACAGAGCTTATGATCATCGTTCAGAACTTATCTCCACGTCCTATCTAAAGTTCAAAGAACAGTTTTCATACTTTGTGGCACAAAGAGACCTAGATTCTCGTACCAGTCTCCCTAGTTAGTTTTCAGGTTGTTTGTCCTTCAAGTCCTCGTCATCTTTCATGTACTTCTCTTGCACGGCTGCAACTGTGATCATATTGGTTAAGGAATGAGAACAAAAAACATGCAGAGGGAGAAGACGACGGTAAAAGGAAAAGGATATCTGTAATAGTCCCAATTGACTTGACGAACTGCAATCTTGCTGAACTCGACTGCGCTTGCATCAATACCAGCAAATACGTATCCATTGCTCTTGTCTATCAGCTTTACCAGATTCCCCACGCTCTCTTTGTCCTGAAAAATTCCCATGGCGTAAAAACTCGAAACGGAAAAAGATGGTACAAAGACGTTTCGGAAAAGTGCACACCTGAATGTCCAACGTCGTGAAATTTACAAGGCTATAATCTTCAATAACATCACACAGCTCCTTTGTTAGTTTTCTGTCACAACAACAAGACTTTTAATGAGATTTTACAAATGCTTGCACTCAAGTCCAAAGACTTAATCGAAAATAAGCAACCACAAAAAGAAGAGAATGAAGATTGCTACGGGTTTGCAGAACACTAAACATGGATATATTAAAAGTAATAACCTGTACTTAGCAGAGCGGGGATCCTGATCAAGATGGTACTGTAAATATGACAGATCTTGAACGTCGGTATAAAAATCCAGGTTGAAAGCTGCAACAACCCGATAATAAAATGCGTGAGTAATCATTGTAACTTGAACTCTAGGTCACGCAGAATATCTTTGGTTGTACCTAGCTTCCCATAGCTCTCAATTAAATCGATTTTAGACAAGACATTGATGTGTGGGAGTTCCATATGCACCATTGTAGACAAGGAGAGGAGCAACGCACTGATGTATTTAGAAGGGTCACTGCAGAGATGGGCATCAACTAAATGCACAGCGGTTAACTGCAAATAATCAGACAACTATGTTAGTTCTGATACGTCAAGACGCAACATGAATCCTTCGCTCAGCGCCAAGGTGATAAAAAAAAAGAAAATCACTTACTCTAAGGTTCAATTTTTTAATAAGCTTCATGATAACATTTTTGGCACCGGAATGAAGGAAGAACAATTCCACTTGGCCAGGGAAATCAAAGAGAAGATAATGGTCTGCAAATTGACAATAGCTTTTTTTAATATGACATATACCTGAAAAATGTGGAACTGAGAACGAAAAGGAAAAGGTCCGATGTTAACCCTTCAAAAGAGGTTCTAATTTAGATTGCAACCAGTCAATGTTTTTCTCCAAGTAATCCATACAAAAAACGAGACCTGTTTCCATAGATACACAAATAACTGGTATCAATGAACACACCTTGCCAAATAGAAAATGAAGAAGAAAGCAACACCTAGAGACAATGGTACCTCCGTTAGGACCGAGAGAGTGTTCCACCATCACATCTTCTAATCTGATCAAGTCCTCTATATTAATCGCACACTCGTACCTAGATCAATGTCAAGGAAATTTCAAAGCTAGAAATACCATAGCAATTCAGAAACTTAACCAAGTTCATTCAAGTTAAAAGGATACGGCAAGGCATCATTTGCAGGGTCGAGATTGATGACAGCAACCTTCCTGCCAAACAGTAATTAGATTATAAGAGAATAAGCTTAAAGGATCCTCGACAATTCTTAAAATCTCCTCCTAACAAACATAAGACAACAACAGATAATAACTGATTTCATAATAAGTCACGCTTGAGCTGCAATAATCACGAGACTAATATTCTTCCCCAAAATAAAAGTCATAGCTTCATGACTTTTCAAAACTTCAGAAATAGCACACCAACCAACAAAGACAAAATTCCAGCTAAAATCTCTGTCTGAAACAGGAAAAGGGACTTCATAGATGTGCAAAAATTTCTACTCTGCCTTTGAAGATTCTACAGTATAATCTCAAAAGGGAAAATTGTGAGCAAGGAAACACTTCAACCTGCCAATGAGAGGGAGGAACTGAGACATGCCATTGCAATAAGTGGTCTTGCCAGATCCAGGAGGACCAATGACAACCTGGCCGAAGACCATCTTCGTGTCTTCTCTATATGAACTGGGAGATTCAAAGAAAACCAAAGATCCAGAGACATTAAGGCTGAGTTATCAACTTATGGTCTATAGGCTCAGACGAAAATCGGAGAGAAAGAGAAGTTATAACGGCCTATTACCAATATTTTACAGATAATAAACACATTCACCACACACAAATATTGGCATCACTAAAAAAAACTGAAGAATCAAACCACAAAAAACTCATAACACATCTTTTCAAGTTTTGTCCGCTTTATGTCTTTAACTTTTTATTCATAATTTCTTTTATATTTTTGTCTACTTATATTTTGAGGTTTACTTCGCCTCTTTGTTTCTACTCTCCTCTGATTCTGTCTCTTGACCACACTTTTGCAAGCAAATTACACAAAACCTCACAAAACACCATGCAATTTAAATGATAAAACCTAAACCAACAATGAAACTTAAGGTATGCACATCCATCAATTCTAGGCTAATGGTAATCATGGGATTTTGCGGGAAAAACCAAACACCAAACAAGTACACATTCTGGTAACAACACAGATTTCCTTCAATTATAATGAAGGCACTATTAAACACTTCCTAATTCTCAGACTCTCCATACAGAAAACGAACATAACGTAACATAACAGAACAGAACAGAACACTTAAAACAACAAAGTCATGATGGCTGTAGAACAAACGACATCTTGGCCTTTATCATAACTCAGAACATGCTCAAAACAAGAGTTTTGCATCACAAGCACTCGGACTTGGCAGTCAAATGTGTGAATCCAACTCAAAGTCGCAAAAATCCTAGATCTTCGGGTCGCAGCCTCTATACCCTATTTTTGCTCAAGTGAAACCAAGAATACAAGCTCTATTTTTGGCTTCCATCTAAATAATTTACTAACCCTGAATGCAGCATCAGTTCAATTAACCATACTCAAACTGGTTCACAAATAGATTAAATCCAAATTCCAATCGATCCTTCAAAAAACTAAGTTCTGGTTAAGATTCCAGAGCTGAAAAGTTCTGCGTTCACTCAAACTTTCATGAAGATCCCCAAAATAAGGTCAATTAAGATAAAAGATGCCTAACAACTAACTGAACTTGCATTGTCTTTTGGAAATCTCCGATCTCCAGTGCCGATGACTGTGGGAGATACTGACCCCAGCGCTAAAACGGAGGGAAAACGGTCGAAAAGAAAAACTCAAATGCTCCGAATTACAACAAGAGACGAAGAAAATAGATAGATAGAGAGATAGATCTCACCAGTGGAACGACGGCAGCGATGACGGCCGTAGAAAAGGATGGCAGCGCCGGAACGAGGAAGAGAGTGAAAGACCACAGAAAGTCCTAGCTAATTTATGCGAGCTCTTAGTCCGTTTTTCTCTGGGTTTAGGGTGGAAAACAATCTGTTTAAGAACCCTATCCAAATCACAATTGCAGCAAAATATACCTATAAAACGTGGAGTATCTATGATGGCCAAATTCTACGTTTAAATTTGGATTTTATTCTATTCTTATTATTAAAAAAAAAAGAAAAACAAAGATTTAGACAAGCATTTGTCGTATGAATCATCATCTCGTTCGTACTCTGTTTCTTGCATGATCATACTGATGTGTATACTTCAATTCACTGGCAATAAATTCGCAATCCATCTGTTAAAATCATCAAGCACAACAAATCTATGTCCTAAACTAAGACAAATCAAACACAAATCAGAATTCAATCGAACGCAAATCAGAATTTTAATTCGGAATTAGGTCTTTCTCATTTTTTGAATCTGGGTATCTCTCAATCAAACAAAAATCAGGGGCGACCGACGACGAGGAGCGACCGGTGAAAGTACAAAACATCGAGACCAAGCAGAACACAAACGAGAGAGAGACGCAGGCGCGAGACCAAGCAACACACAAGCGAGGGAGAAAAGGGTATCGAGAAGAAAAAGACGCAGGAGAGTAAGCAACAGAAATGGGAGGAAGCACACAGAACACAAGCGAGAGAGAGGGGGTTCGGGACTTACAGAAAAACACCACGACCCAGATGATGGCGCAGGCGAACCGTAAGTCAAGAATCCCCAGATGATGGTGCAGACGACGAGGCAGATTCAGAAGAACCAAGAGGCTAAAGATTGGAGAAGACGCAGAACAGCAGAAAGCCAGAAAGAAATGTCGTGTGAAAGGAGGGAGGAAAGAGGCAAAGGCAAACCCTAATTTTTAAATTTAATTTCGGTTTACCTGATTAACCGAAATTAATTGATTATTTACCCAAACCGAATCTATATGATTCCTAAACATATGAGACGATAAATTAAGCAAGGGTAACAAACAGATCAGAACACGACACATAGAAAAACAGATTTTTTTCCCCAATTTCTCCTCATTTTCTCAAGAACCAAACAACGAAACAGAGGAAAACTCCAAAATCAAACAGAAACCTGGCAAACAAATCGCAGTATTTGAATCCATTGATTGAGAGAGAAAGGAGAGACCGAAGGCAGCAAGCGAACGACGAACAGAGAACCGATTGAGAGAGAAAGAGAGAGAAAGGGAGGAGACCAACGTGCCAAAGTACCTGAATCTACGGCGAATAGAGACAGCAAACGAAGGACGAGCAAAGACAGCAAACAAACACGCCGAACAGAGACTCGCAAGGAGGAGAAGGAGGCTCGCAGGGCGGAGAAGGAGAGACCGAAGGTAAACAGCAAACAGCAAACAGCAAACAGCAAACACGGCGAACGACAACGACGAACACGGTGGTGGAGACTGGAGAGACGATGCGATCGATTTCGCTTCTGCAAAAGAGGCAGCAAAATGCAAATGAGAGAGAGACAAAGTGACAGAGCAGATGAGTAGGATTCTTCGTTAGTAAATTAGGGTTAGGGTTATTTTTGTAAGTGTATTAAATAATAAGGGTGTTTTTGTAATTTCTTAATTTCCCGGTACCCGCAAGATAACCCACGATGAAATTATTAAACTCGAACCCAAACCCGAATCTCGGATTTTCTATCACACGAAACCCGATATGTATCTTATTATCTCATACATAATGTATTTCGGATATCCGTGAGATAGAGTATCCGAAAACCCACGGATCTCGGAAAAAAAAATACCCACTCATTATCCAATACGTTAGTGGTTCCCACCGTAGAAATATCGCATGGTCCAAAACCTATACCCAGAAAAAAAATCATAAAAATCAAAGATTGATCATTTCAACAAGCATTGACTTCATTGCCAATCAATCTGCAACGATCCGATAATGATTCTCTCTCTCTCTATTTCTCTCTGAATTCTAACAAAACCCATCATCTGCAACAAATCCGACCATCAAATGGGCAAGATCAAGAATCCATTACCGATCTCATGTTTTCTCCTCACATGTCTTAGCGTTGTTATAGTTCCTGTCTCTGCTCACACATGCTTAGACACTGGTTTCTTCGTACCAGAGAGTCCTTACGGCATAAACCACCGTCTCATCCTCTCTTCTCTCGCTTCGACGGTCACATCTCAAGGCGGTTATTACGCCGCCTCGATTGGGCAAGAACCCTCGAAATGTTATGCTTTAGGCATGTGTATCCCAGCTGCCAAACCAGAAGATTGTTCAGATTGTATTCAGACCGCGTCTCAAGGGCTGTTACAAAGTTGCCCTAATCAGACAGAAGCTTTCTCGTGGTTCAGCGACAACAAAACCCTTTGCCTTGTGCGTTACTCAAACCGAACTTTTGTCAGATTGCTCAATTTGGAGCCTCGGGTTGTGATGAACGACACTGGAGTGACCATCGAGTTGAATTCGACAGAGTTTGATGGAGTGTGGGAAGGGTTAATGAATCGTATGATTGATGGCGAGTTATCGTTGTCTAGAATTAAGAACTACGCAGCCGATGTGACTTCCTTGACGAATTCCCGAGATATATACGCGTTGATGCTATGCACTTCGGATCTGTCTCAAGAGGATTGCCGCACTTGTTTACAAGAAAGCGTAGGTCAGTATCGTAATGTTGCCGTAAGCTCATTTGAATGATGACACTTTGATTGTTTTCTTTAGAAGGAAAGATCCTAAAACGATAGTTTTGGCTTAAATTCTTGCATGAAATGGATTTATGACGCTTTCTTTCTGTATAATTATTGACGTTGATTCAGGCTTATGCAGATCGAAACTCGAATCAAATTGGAAGAACCGTGGCAATTGCCGTTCCCTGTGTCTTTATTATCTCGGTACTGGTTGCTCTGGGATTTGCATTTTGTCGAAGGAGAAAGTTATACCAAGCAGCTGAACTTGAAAGTGAGTAATTAGTTGCTCTGTTTTTGCAAAGAGAGCCATGAAAACACTAAAAACACTAAAAACACTACATTTCCATTCAGGTGAGGATTACGTTACGTCTACAAGCTCGTTGAAATTTGATTTCAAGACCATTGAAGCTGCAACGAACAAATTTTCGCAACGTAACAAACTTAAGTGAGGTGGATTTGGTGAAGTTTATAAGGTATCTCGTTGTCTAGCTTTTTTTGCGTTTCCATACCAATGTTTGATCCGTACCATTCGCAAGGCACATTTCAAGGCGGAACTGAAGTTGCAGTGAAGAGGTTGTCAAAGACAGGACAAGGCGCACAAGAGTTCAAGAACGAGGTTGTTCTTGTAGCAAAGCTTCAATATAGGAATCTGGTTCGGCTTTTGGGATATTGTTTGGAAATAGAAGAAAAGATGTTGATCTACGAGTTTGTGCCGAACAAAAGCCTCGACAATTTCCTGTTCGGTATGTTGCAACCGCGCGATATTCTGCTTAGTCATCTTTTCAATTTTTCGTATGAACCATTTCTGCATGTGCAGATCCTTTGAAGCGACTCGAACTGGACCGGACAAGACGGTACAACATCATCGAAGGGATAGTTCGTGGAATTCTGTATCTTTATCAAGATTCTCGGCTCACAATCATACATCGGGATCTCAAAGCAAGTAACATTCTCTTAGACGTCGATATGAACCCAAAAATCGCAGATTTTGGCATGTCGAGGATATTCAGAATGGACCAAACTCGAGCTAATACGAGAAGGATAGTTGGAACCTAGTAACTAAACCTTGTCCTAACATCTCTATAAAAATTTTGAGTTAAAAAAAACTTTTGCGGCTAACTAATTCGGAATTTTTTTTGTTGTACAACGGTTATATGCCTCCAGAGTATGCTATGTAAGGCCATTTCTCTAAAAAAATCCGATGTCTATAGCTTCGGAGTTTTACTTCTCGAGATCATAGGCGGAAAAAGGAACAACAACTTCTACGATAGTGACAGTAGTGATGGAAATTTGGTCACATTTGTGAGTATAGACGATCAAATTTCAAATTCCCTACTCTATAATTGCATAGCTGCTAATTTATCGATCTCTACATTAGGCTTGGCGAGTTTGGGGAAACGGGTCGCCACTAGAACTCGTGGATCCATCCCTCCAGACGAATTATCGGCAGAGCGAAGTTATTAGATGCATCCACATCGGTTATTGTGTGTTCAAGAAAACCCTGCAAACCGTCCGACCTTATCAGCAATCATCGTGATGCTCACTACTAACACGGTGACTCTACCACTCCCTCAAACACCCGGGTTTTGCCTTCGAAGCAAGTCCATTCCTTGTTCTATCGATGATGCGAAGATTATCGATATAAATCCTCGTTGAAAAGGGCTTTCTTAATATGTTGCTCGCTTGTACATGTAATATAACCTAAAAAAACATTCATCGCTAAATACTTTGGCATATATGTTAAGCACTAGGACGGCGATTGGCCTGGCTGGTCGGACTACAGCATGTCCAAGCCCGGATTGAGCTTCAATGGTGGAAATAACGCTCTGCGTATAAACTAGAGGTACCTCTGTTTAACGAAATAACGAACTTGAGAACCTACACAAAGTTCGTTAACCCCTCGAAACCCTATGCTTCATGCAGAAACTTTCCTAAACCTTCTAGACAAACCAGACCTCAACATATACAAATCCATCTTGAAGAATATCATTTCTAGGATCGAAAACATCAAGAATCATCACGTTTTAATATGGTCGAAGCTTCTTGGCATATGCTCTCATTTTTGGACCGTTGGAATTTGAATCTTGATCTGTAACTTCGTTTCCAAACTCATGGTTGTTTTCAACTTTATTCTTGTTGCCTCTAATGTCCTCATCAATGTACAATTACAAACCAAAGCAATCGTGGCCGAGACCACGAATAGAAGTTATCGTTACTGAATAACGAATTAGGGTTAAAGAGGAAAGTCGAGAAACGAACCACAATACAAATACTTCTTACCATAGGGATTACAAAAGTTTGCATATCTAAGAGCATGATTTTGTCTGAAAAGAACATTACTTGTATCTTTTCAATGAGGAACGACATTTGTAATGGATGCATCATCGACACACTTGGTCGTAGATTTGCTCGGTTCTAGTGAGTCGGATAGGTGTTGGTTAGGGAACGAAAATCCTGGCTGATGAGGAACTGGTATAGAACTAATCGTACTGTTAAGAATCAAAACAATGGTCGACATGGTCGGGCGGTCTGGAGGATCTTCCTGGACACATAATAAACCTATATTGATGCATCTTATAACTCATTTCGTTCATAATTCTCCAAGCCTAAAGCAATCATCAAGCAAAAGATAATATACAAAATGTTGATTTGTAGGTTAAAAAAATAGTGTTCTTACATGTGTGGTCAAATCACAGTCTCTATCACTTTGGTAGAAGCTGTTATTCTTCTTCGCACTTATGATTTCTAGAACCAATACTCCAAAGCTATAAACATCAGATTTCATGGAGAATTGGTCGTGCATCACATATTCAGGAGACATGTAACCACTAGACAAACGACGAAAACAAAATTCGAAGAGTTTCGTAAGGTTAGATTTCATATGTAAGAAAACTAAGGTCTATCAAACATGAATTCAAGGAGAGAAGACAAATGCTTACAAGGTTCCAACTATCCTGCTTGTGTTGGATTGAGTTTGATCCATCCCGAAAATCCTCGCCATGCCAAAATCCGATATCTTCGGGTTCATATCCGCATCTAACAGAATGTTACTTGCTTTGAGATCACGGTGTATGATTATGAGTCGAGAATCGTGATGAAGGTATAGAATCCCTCGAGTGATTCCTCCAATGATCTTGTACCATCTTGCCCAGTCCAACTCGTGTTGCTTTGTAGGATCTGTGCATATATACACATAAATCGATTCTCACCAGTTTGAAAACTCGCGTTCACATCTAAAAAAAGATATTAAAACTCTTCATAAAACCTCAACGCACCAAACAAGACATATTTGAGGCTTTTGTTTGGCACAAACTCATAGATAAGTATCTTCTCTTCGCCTTCCACGCAAAACCCGAGAAGCCGAACCAGATTTCTATGCTAAAGCTTTGCTACAAGAGCTGCCTCGTTCTTGAACTCTTGTCCACCTTGTTTCGATGTTCTTGACAGCCTCTTCACCGTCACTTCGGTCCCATTCGGTAACACACCCTGTTCTTACCAATAACGCGAATGAATCAAAGGGTTTTTTCAACACATTGATTGACACAAGAATCAGAAAATTATTCCATCACATTATCTGAATATATATGTTATCTTAAAGACAACAAAAGAGCAAGACAAAAAGTCAGTGGTAGACTTTACACTTAATTTGTACCTTGTACACTTCACCAAATCTTCCTTCGCCAATCTTGTTGCTCTCCGAAAACTTATCAGTCGCTTCTTCAATTGTCTTGAAATCAAATTGCAAGGAACCTGTGGGTACATCATATCGAGCTTCTTTTAGTTGTATGCTAAAGAAGTTCCAATCAAATTAAAAGAGGCTAAAATGTAATGTTTTCTCAAATTTTCAAGATGAACATTGTTTATATCTATTTTAGTATAATTTCTTTGCATTTTCCACCACTATTTCATTTTTTTTAACTAGTCATTTTAGTAGTTTTATCAATTAATTTTAACATAAATATGGGATGTATTTTTGGGATGAAGGTAATTTATAATCCGTAAATTAATCAAATATTTGACCTAACTACATCTTTCAAAAGAGAGGAGAAATCCATGTGAATGTTATTCCTGAAATAGAGATTTACATTTGAGTCACTCAATCTTCGAATGATGGTAATTTATTACAAAAAGGCATGTATCTAATCGAACAACAATGTATATTCGCATTTGGATTGAACCCGAAAGAAAACCGATTGAAAACGATATTTTTTAGACCCAATTAATCAAATCCGAAATGAATTCGAATAGTATATAAAATTAATAGATCATTATGATATGGCATATAGTTTTTCTTTTTTTAAGATAATTCAATCGTTTTTGATAAGTACTGTAATGAAAAAAAAATGTGGAGAGAGCTTCATGGTGGAAACAATTACCTTCATCATCCGCAGGTGTTTTGTCATAAGGATTGCTTATTCTCTTCAAAAGGAAACAATAAATGCCGACAAAAAGAAGTGGAGAGATAGTCATTGACACAACCGCAGTTACGGGCCTTACGACAACTACTTTCACCGTGTAAGTCCTGCCTTTTCCTACAACAGACCGCCAAAAAATAAATTGTTTATTTGCAAAAGTATTGTGCATTCTCTATTGTTAAACGTGAAAAAATATATACAAAATTGTAACGTTATAATAATATTAAATAGTCTGAACGATTGTGTTTACCGGTACCATATTAAAAGTCCCTCCGCTTATATTTTGTTTTTATTTTCCAAGGAAAAAATATATACACGTAAAAGATAATATATGTTAATATATACATGTATTTTAGTAATTTCAAAAATAATAACTCGATAGTTTTATTTCTAAGAAAACTGTCTTAATCATCTCTGCAATTTTCAGATATTCTTAAAAAAAATACTTTCTTGCAGAGTTTTTTTCCCATTGGAAGTGGTTGGCTTTTATCTCCCCCTAGATTGATTTTGAAGGGTTATGTATTATTGGTCACTGAAGTAGCGAATAAATTTCGTTATAAAACGGGTAAAGTTCCTGGGATCACTCTCGCGTAGAACGTTTTTTTAGACGGCGTTTTTCTCACGGCGTACTTCCTGGGATCACTCTCGGCCTCTTTCGCGGCCGGGTACATGGTCGAATTGAAAGCCTCCTTGAACCGGCCTAACTGGTTGGATGAAATGTTGTTGGTATTCATCAAGAGCAAGGCAGGAGTGGTTTCGACCGTGGAGAGAATGTTCCGGTTAGAGTATCGGATCGTGCAAGGGTTGTACCAAATCGTCGCCTCTTTTTGCTCCGGACAGCGGCTTAGGGCCTCGTCCATGGCGTAACGGACGCAATCCCGACATCTCTCGGGGTATTGGTCCCCTCGGCAGAGGAAAAACCGGTGTCGGGGCCTCTCCCGACAGCGGCGTTCTTGAAGCCTGAGGCGTAGAACGATGCGTTAGGGGGCGAAAGAGAGGCTAAAAGGGTTCGAAGATTGGTGAAGTATGTGCCGTTTCGGGTGAAGTTTGCTGTGCTCAGACAGAAGTGGCCTATGTAAGGAGGGTCTTGTCCTAAAGCTTTGAAGCTTGTGAAGAGGACGAGGAACGAGAGACAGATGAAGATTTTGTCTGAAGACATGCTCTTTGTTTCTTGTTCTATGTTTCCTATGGTGTTGTCTGGAGATATGATGATTTATATATATATATGACACAAGTCGACTGTTTTAGATTTTTTGGGGAGATATTCATATAAAAAAATATATTTTGCATATTAAAACTTATGCAGAAAAAATAAGATATTGAAATAGCTGAGAGAATTTAAACACTTAAAATTTGAAGCAGAATATAGTATAGATTCCACATTACAATTTCTGCTAAGATTTTTTTTATATGACCCTTTTGTAGTTTGTTGTAGGTTTTTTATTCGGTTCCGGTTCCCTTCCAATTATATCCTGTTCCGGTTCACTTGTCACTAAAAAAATCTCTGTTCTTAAAGAAATTAACATTTCATTATTTTTTTCCAATTATTTATTTTAACATTTCGTTGTGATTCGATTCACATTTTGTTATTTTTGTTTTAACAATATCGTATCCGATTGGTATCTTTTATTCAGATATGGTATTATATTATTTGTTTCGATTTAATTTGGTTTGTAATAGACATGTTGACCCCTATCTTCTTTTTTTTTGTACATTATATTATCGTTTGCTAATTTTTTGTTCTCTTTATATGGCTTCGCACTCTCCATTCCTTATTTTTGTTATCATAATTCTTTTTAAAATTTTCCTATTTATTAAGGGGACAAGGGCAAAAGGGTAACTATTGCGCTCCTACCACTCGCAAACAGAACGATTACGATTTCTAGCAGTTGCGAGCAATTGAAAAACTGATTCGTAGAATTGTAATCAATTGCAACTGCATTTTGTGGCTTTTGATAAAAAAACAAAAATACTATTTTTTAAAAAAAAATTATTTTTTAAGAATAAAAGTAAAAAATAAATTAAATGGTTTATTGTTGATTGTTGCTGTATGCTATTGTCCTTGATATCCTTTTCACTCGCTCCTGAAAAGATAATGGCAAGACCTCCTATTAAAAATAAACTAAGATTAGTTGGACCAAACTCTAAAACTCCACGTCACAAAAAAAATTATTCAAAAAACACGTCAATATTGTTGGTTTGTAATATAGATCATATAGTTTCTTTTAAATGATTTGGTATTATAAAAAAAGTTTAAATTAAATAAAAATATAATGAAATATATTTAATATTATATAAATTCTCCATGATTACTAATTCTTAATGAAACAAACATTTTCAATAAAACAATAAACAGAATAACACTATATGTGTGTATGTATATATATGAATATATAGGGGTGGCCATTTCGGTTATTAACCGAATAACCGAGCCGAACCGAATCGAATAAGACATAACCGTACCCGAACCGAACCCGACATCAAAACCGAACGGTTATGATTTCCTTAAACTCGAAAAACCGAAACCGAAACCGAACCGAACCGAATAAAAAACAACCAAAAAAACCGAGAGAATAACCGACATTTTCTTTGGAAAATTGAACTTTTTAACAAAACCGAACTGAATCCGAACCGAAAAATAACCGAACCGAACCGAACCGAACCGGAATTTATATAAAAACCGAATGGTTATAGTTTTCTATAACCTAAATAACCGAACCCGTATATAACCGAACCGAACTCGACATCAAAACCGAACGGTTATGATTTTCTTAAACCCGAAAAACCGAAACCGAAACTGAACCGAACCGAATAAAAAATAACCGAATAAATCGAGAGAATAACCGACATTTTCTTTGGAAAATTGAACTTTTTACCAAAACCGAACCGAATCCGAACCGAAAAATAACCGAACCGAATCGAAACGAACCGGAATTTATATAAAAACTGAATGGTTATAGTTTTCTATAACCGAAATAACCGAACCTGTATATAAACGAACCGAACCCGAACCGAAACCCGAATTAGCCACCCTATGAATAGACCTATATTATTAATACTAGGATCAAATGCCAAATCCCACTATATATGTGTGTGTATATATATAGTATCATGTATGTATAATATATGTGGATCAAGATTTATCTTAATTATTTAAATATATTCTCATAAAATTATTGAAAATTAGTATCAATTTTATAAACATTATTTTTTTATTTATATAATTTACCTTTACCAAAAAAAAATACCAATATAATATCTTCCAATTTTTTATACTATTATTAATAATTATAGCATGAATGAATACGTAGAAGATTCATTGTGCTTTAACACACCAATTACCAAAATTGCGTGACAGGAGAAACGGACAAACACTCATTTACTCATTTATCATTAGAATTTGTTTAAATATCCACCCTTGTCTTCCTCCTCCTCTAGCCGCCGACCGTTTTCACGTCTAAGAATACATATGCAGATACAGATTTTGTTACTGCTTAAGATACAACCATACCATTCTGGTTTCCCTAAGATGCGGTCACTGTGTTGTATGAGGAAACAAGGGTTCGACATCAGAGGATGAAGAAGATGCAGCCACCACGAATTCCGAGGCCGGAGCACTGAAAACGGCGTTCCAAGTTTCTCCAATGTCGGCTTTCACGGCTTCGTCCTCTTCATCGCTCTCAGTATCGTCTTTCAATGGATCTCCAGGAGATGATCGGATCCTCTCCAGTTCCATTGATACTTCCCTCATGCTCGGCCGCTTCTTCCCTTTCAGGTTTAGACACTTCCTCGCAAGCTTTGCAACCGACATTACTTGTTCGAGCTTCGAATCCTCTTTGATCCGGGCATCGACCATACCCAAGAGTCTGTTCTCTCTCATGGCCTCGACGAAATGAGCTGCCAATCCCCTATTCTCTTCGGACCTCACATTAGAAACTGCCTTCTTGCCGGTTATTAGCTCCACGAGCACGACTCCGAAGCTGTAAACGTCGCTTTTGTCTGTAAACTGGCTCGTCTGGAAGTACTCGGGATCAAGATACCCGAAAGTACCCGCGACTAGCGTCGTCAGATGGGTTTGATCTACGGCTATCGATCTCGAAGTCCCGAAATCGGAAACCTTACCTCGATATTTCTCATCCAACAATATGTTTGAAGACTTGATGTCTCTGTGATAGACGGGACAAGATGCAGCAGAGTGCAAGTAGGAAAGAGCTCGTGAGACCTCGATGGCAATGCGTAGACGCTCCTCCCAAGTCATCGTGTAATCGTCGGATCCATCGTGAAGATACTCGAAAAGGTTTCCGTTGGGAATAAACTCGTAAACCAAGAGAGGAACTTCCGTCTCGAGGCAACATCCCAAGAGTTTGACGATGTTCCTGTGGTTGACCTGGGAGAGAATGACGACCTCGTTGATGAACTCCTCGAGTTTGTCTTCGTCCACGGCTTTGGACTTCTTGACGGCGACGATTCTTCCGTCTACGAGCATTCCCTTGTATACGGTGCCTTGACCGCCCTGTCCAAGCACCCTTTTCACGCTGAAGTTTTCCGTGGCCTTCTCCAGCTCTCTCGAGCCGAATATCCTCGTCTTCTCGACGTTTCCTTCCGTCGAAGTCAGCTGTTGCTGCAACAGCATCCCTCCATTGCGCTTGAAGAAGTTCTTCTTCCGGTTTATCTCCTTCCTCTTCTTAATGAATTTGTACAACAAATATACTCCACCGACCGCGATCAACAAGCCAAAACCCAAACTAAGGCCTTCACCCCACAACACCAAAAGCCAACAGTAGTTGGATAACGAGTGAGTACATATATACATGTCTTGATTCAGACAGCAACATGACTGAAAGAGTTCGTATAACATACCTGCAATGGTTAGGAAAGACTTGTTCGTCACGCACTTGTAGCTTCCGGGGGTGTTCACGCAAGTAATTCGTCCTCCGCATCTATAACGATCTTCAGAGCATTCGTCGATATCTACACACAAAAGAAGCAGACTTGATAAAAACGATGGGATACGTACAAATCTCTGACATTTTATATCACTCGCCTTTGCATCCTCCAGGAAGGTATGGATTCCCTCTGTAACCGTATCTGCACCGACAGCTTCCATAGCTGATGCCGGAAACATTATGATAACCGCATTCACAGTTTGATCGGGCATTCGATAAATCCCCGCAATCCGATGAGGCTGCGAGCTGAAGATCCGTCGGAGACATGAACCACTGCAGTTGTAACGTGGTAGTAGATCCATTGGCAAGAAAGGCAAGTGGTTCGCTTATGTTTGACGAGAAATATGTCTGGTCTGTCAAGAAAGCAACTCTGCAACCTCCTCTTGTGTCGTTAGTTCCGTCGACTCTCTCTGTCCTAACACCGATCACTTGCAGGAACCTACTCGATGGTGTGGCAGCCTGACAACATTTGTAACCATTGCAGAAGCTCTGGTCTTCTTGTTCTAATCCTGACCCTTCATCGCAACTCGACTCGCATCCGATGATGTTTGGATTCACATTCGTCATCAGGGCTTTGGTATTGCAACCAACTGATACGAGGCTATTGCCCTCGCCCAGAAAGAAAGGGCTTCCTCTCAAATTCAAAAGAGATCCGGAATCTCCCCGGCCATCGGCGCAGCCGGAGGACGTTACCGGACTTCTGATGCGGACTGTCCGGTAATAAAGTTGAACATTATCGGCGGAATCATCGTCACGGAGAAAGATATTCACGACCTCCTTGTCGATGGCGGGAAGGAACGGCGAGGTACCATTGTTGCATACAATCTCATACCACTTACTGAGGTAGCATCCTTTTCCGATCCCGAATGGATACGGAATCCGAATATCGCCGCAGCGGCTTCGGCAAGAGCTCGAAATGGTGAGATCTTGATCCGCTGTTGCAGCTCCTGAACGGCGGATCATCAGTAGGATTAGTAGAGAAAGGATCGTCCAGAGTCTGATGATCATGTTTATGCTCAGATCTTTGTTCTTCGGTTGATCGTTTTACTGAAGCAGAGGGGAGCTTTTGAGAAAGGAGAAAGACTGTTTACTTGTACACTCTACAGCCACAAATATCTCCGAGACTTCTGACTCGGGTTTCAGACATAGAGAGTTAGGTAGGTAATGACATAAGTGATGATATAGCCCCTTCGTCTTTGACTTTTCAACTCAAAAGAAAATTTTTCGCAGCAAAGGTGAATTTCGATCGATCTTTGTTCACTTAAACCCTAAATAATTCAATATTTATATCCTGAGCCACAGTTTTACCGCTGAATCAATTAAACTATTAGAAAATTCGATTCAATAAAGAAAAGAAAAGGATTTTTTTTTCATCTGAAGTAATTACGAAAGGTAAATAATGGTTTTTCGCGCATTAAGATAACGGAGATAACTGACCTCGTATCATTTAAATAACAACAATTATTGGTATTTATAGAAAAATGATGTTTTAGGCATTATATTCTAATAACAATTATTGATTTAATATAGGGCATATCGTTTTTACGTTTGGAAAATTTAAAAATCTTATATAGCAGTCTCATCTAATATCCATAAAATATTACTGTTTATATCGAATCGAATAAAAAGATAACACTTATTATTATTGTTTATCAATCATACAACAAATTTAAATAAATTAAAAATAGTTTGCTAAACCCTAAGACATAAAAAAAAAACCCATCCCATGTCAAGTGGTGCCCACGGCTAAGAGGTCTTCCCATGAAACCAATTTCTCTCGAGGTTTGTTTCTCTCACTCCCTAACCGTTTCTCTTCCGCGTCGATTTTCTCCCACCCTTTGAACGGTACGATCTTCACGTTCCGTGCCTCGAGTAATTGTCGTAGTCCTTCGCCCCCGGCCTTCGACCCCGTTGCTATAGCTATTTGGCCTTTTACGACATCTTCACTTATACTACCAACCTGCCACATTTGGTAAACCCCGTCTTTAAACTACCTTACTCAACACGCAAACCCGAATATACAAATTTTAACTTCGAACGAAACTTTACTTCGACCTTACCAAAACCCACAAGCTTAATTTGGCATGTGAAATCGAACTTTACAATCTAGGCCAAGTGTTTGTATGCAAAGGAAGTTCAAGGTGTATGAAACTTTGTGATTATTGGAAGGAGGTAAGAATTCTCACTGTTTCTTCGGCGCACTGAAGATTTGTGCCAATTATGCCGGTCGGTCCTCTTTTCAGCCATCCACATACGTATAAGCCTGGCTCACTTTGCGATTCTTCTCTCGAGGCATGGGTAAGAACTCGGCCTCTTATATTCGGGACAACACCTTGAAACACGAGAACATCACCAAAATCAGGCAAACCAGCTTTTCTTGCAAAAGCATTGTATTCGGGTAAATTCAAAACAGAACCATTCTTGCTCTGATAACCATTTTTTTTGCTTTGAGAACGTTTCAGGCACACACTGAAGATAATGGAACCATAGAACCACTTGTGTTTCTACCTTTCTGGTGATCAAACGGTAACCCTTCAACCGGTACTGATTTGTAGCCAATGCTCTTTACCACCATACTGCAGGAGAGAAAATTTGAGTTCAAAAAGTAGTTAGCATCGCTTTGATATAAATACGAGTTCAAGAATTCTCCATAAACTTGGCAAATATGGTATTGCCATTATCGATTTGTCTAAGGTTGCAGATTGAACTAGACACTTTCAACCCTAAAGCCAAGGACTCAATAACTGAAAATTACTGCTTCACTACAACAAGAAACCACCAAGGCCCTTGCATTCAAAAGTAATTTACCCGCAGTGAAGATACTCATGTTGTCCAGTTCCAACTGCAATTTGCCTCCCAGTGCCATCACCTGCAAGTTACCAAACCGATGATGCCTTGGTACGTTCTAATGACCCATTTGTCTTTTTTGAAGTAACAATTTTTTTCCACATTACCAGAACTTTGTAATAACAACCAACAAAACAGAATATGTTTTATCCAAGTGTACTGAGTACGACTGTATGAGGCAAACTTACTTTCAAGAATTGTTTTCTCCAACTGCACACCAGATACATGACCCGTCCTTTCATCTGATTCTAAAAACTGGTCAGGTTTGCGGAAGAAAACCAAATGCAGTTCACGAGGACCTGGGCCTGGATGGGAAGATTCTGTGGCTGCTGCTGTCGCGGCCTTGGACAGTAACTCATAGGTCCTCTTTCTGATTCTACTTTTTTTCATTTCTTCCTTTAATAAATATAAAAGAGGATCACAGGCTACACAACAGTGTCAAACGGAATCAGGGGCTGAAAAGAAGAAAAAATAAAACACAAGAAACATGCAACCATGTCTGTAGAATTTAAAATGCAGCCAAAGTTGACATAAAACTTCTTACTCTTTTAACAAAAGACAAATCTAAGTTTGGTATTATTTCAATTAAAGATCGATAATTTGGAAGTATACCTCATCAACAGGTGTAACAAGTAAGTCTGCTTGGTTTATTTTAATGTGCAAGTTCTTCATCCCTGCAATGAATACATGAATTTTTTCTTCATTTCAATGGGGAAACAACAAACATCAATGGCCAAGAGAGAAAAATTATATTGCATCTAATGAAAAGAAAACTCCTAAATGGAGCAGAATAAGCATGTAGGAAAAAAAAATCCTAAAAGTAAAAGTTCAAGCGTTATCCAACATCTAAGATGAAAGAAAACCAAGCACATGATCAATATAGAGTTCAATATATCCAATCAAATACCGAGAATTTCTCGTAGCTCCTTAGCAGTCCATGCTGCTTGAACTGGTCCTCGTCTTCCGA